TGATGTCATGCCCCTCGACTGACAGGCGCACTTAGTCTTCTTCTTCACACTTGCCCTCTTCCTGTCAGGGTGGGTGTTGCAGCAACGCTATGTACACTCGCTTCAAGCCGCCATCAAACCACGACTGCCGAAGCCGTTACCGCCGCCCAAACCAATAGAACCACCAACGTTGGATGCAAAGTGGGCGAGGCCCATGGGCAGCCGGCCAGAGGTGGACGACACGTATGCACAGTACATTTCAGGCCTGACGATGGACTGGAGCAGGCTGGGCTACGTGCAGGTTGTGCGCGAGCATGTGGAACTGTGCAGTGCCGTCATGCTGCTGTCGGACTTGCATAGGATGAAGAGCCCCGCCCGGAGGATATTGATGTTCCCCAAACTATGGCTTGCAGAGTCCGAGGACGACAAGTACAGCGCTGAGATGACGACTACGCGGAGGCTGCTGCGGACAGCGGCGAGGCGGTATGGAGTGAAACTGATACCGATGGAGCCGCTTGTGGAAGGCGCAGACGGTGAGTTTGTTGACAGTCAGTGGGCAATTGGTGGCAGGCGCTTATGATAACGACAGACACACTGCCCTCGTCGTACTCGCTGGCCAGTCTGTATTCACTGGTAGACTACGAGCGGCTACTGTACCTCCAAGGGCCGGGCGTGCTGCTGGATGCGTCTGCGCTCGACTCGCTGCTTGCCTTTTCCAAGTCGGAGCCAATGGCAGCATACCCGGCCACGGCCGAGCGGACAGACATGTCGACGTCGCTGCTCATGGTTCACCCGTCACAACAGAGTTACAACCAGCTGCGGGCACTGCGGGCATCCAAGGCGACGTCAGATCTCAACATGTTCCGCAAGACATTTAGCGTGCCTGACTCGCTCATTTCCGAGTGGTCGCTGTCCATGGGCAACGTCGTGTACGAGTCGCAGAATCTGCGGCAGGCGAGCGACGACTTCAACGCGACGGCGTTTGAGCAAGCGACGACGTTTGTGCGCCTGAGCGATCCCGAGCTGCCGGGGCCCGAGTACGACGTGCCGTATGCTGAGCGCGCGCGCCTGCGTCCACAGAACGAGGCAGCGCAAGAGGCATGGAGCGGGCTGTACGAGCGCTTCCGGCAGCGGCGCATGGAGGTGTGCGGCCTGGACCTGGAGACGTATGAGGCCGTGGCGGTGTCTGGTGGGGCAGCTGAAACGGAGCGGGCAGATGCCGAGCTCTGAAACGAGCAAAACCAATGTTCATGTATGAAGTCACGTCTAGCATCTGGATCGGGTCATGGGATGGATGGCATGGGAACACGAGAGGCTACTTGTGTGTACGAGTTCTCTGTGTATACACATGTCTTTGTTTTTTTGGGGGGGGGGGGGGGCGTGGTGTTTTTTTTATTTTTGTGATTTGGTGCAATATGGAGTTGGGTAGTAGTATGTAGGGTGATGGTACACCTACGGTCAGGAATGGAATGGACGTGGCGCTAAAGGGGGAGATGCATGGATCGGGGCCAATGTGAGAGGGTGCCTGTCCGGTGTGGGCAAGGCTGGGGGGGCTGGGGATGTTGCGGTCATTGACTGGGATTGCTCGATGCTGGTACGCATGACGCAACAAGCCATGGCTTCCGGCGGCCGCGCTGCTGACGGGCAAGGGACGGGCTGGATGCGGTGCGGTCGGTGGGCGGGTGCATGTGGGGTGAGAATGTGTGTATGTATACAAACATAGCTCTTGTAGTATAGATGTAGTAGATGTAGTAGATGTAGTATAAGGGCCAGGTCAATAACAGACACACCGATAGGGTGGGCAGCCAAACGCGCGGGTGAAACAGTGGCAGCGTGCGTAGATGCGCGGGCAGACTTGCAGCTTCTTCCCCGCCGAAGCCTCCAAAGTCGTATCCTATCCTATCCTGTCCTGTCCTCGACGACGACTACGACGACGCACCACCGCCAGCCAGGACTAGCGAACGCCCCAAGCCCCCAAGCCCGCCCACGCCGCATCCGCAACCACCAGCACCAGCCCCGTCGACGACCTCATCGTCCCATCCATTGTCCGCTCATCACCACCTGCGCCAATGCACGCGCCCTCGTTCGCTCACTAGACACTGCTGACATCGCCCCCGCGACCTGCGTTGAAGCACACCGGCAGCGCAGCGCCGCTGCACGAGTCGACCCGCCCCTCCAATGCCTACCCTGGGCTTCCTCAAGAAGAAGCGCACAAAGGACTCCAACGGCTCGCGCGACCTCGACTCGCCCGCCTCGCCCACAAAGGACACGCACTCGCCCGTCACGCCCACCGGCTCCCGCAAGTCGGGCTCCTTCCACCTGCACAAGACCAAGACCAACGACTCCAGCACCACCGCCACCTCGGCCCACGACGCCACGACTGCTGCTCAAATCTCCACCTCGACCACAAACACGTCCGGCACCGGCACCTCGTCCGCCTCCACCGCCCCGGGCGCGCCTGCCGCGACCCCCAAGCCCGTAGACTCGATGAACCCCGCCCACGCGCAGCAGCAGCAGCAGCAGCAGCAGCAACACCTGCAATCGCAGCAATATACAGCCACAAGCCCCCAGTCTAACCCCCAGCACTCGCGCAACACGCCCAGCATACAGAACCTCATACACCCCAACAACACCACCACCACCACCACCACCACTTCCAACACGTCCTCCTCGCACCACTCGTCCGCTAAGAATGGCGCCGTCCAGTTCCAGACACAGCCCCTCAACCAGACCCGCGTCACAAAGGGCAAGTACTCGCTGACCGACTTCACCATCCAGCGCACCCTCGGCACCGGCAGCTTTGGCCGCGTCCACCTCGTCCAGTCCAAGCACAACCAGCGCTTCTACGCCGTCAAGGTGCTGAAAAAGGCCCAGGTCGTCAAGATGAAGCAGGTCGAGCACACAAACGACGAGCGCCGTATGCTGCAGCAGGTCAAGCATCCCTTCTTGATCACGCTCTGGGGCACCTTTCAAGACTCCAAGAACCTCTACATGGTCATGGACTTTGTCGAGGGCGGCGAGCTCTTCAGTCTGCTGCGAAAGTCTCAGGTACTTATCCTTCTCTTTCCATCTCCCCTTATTGCACAGTGATTTTGGGCATCAATGGACACTAACTCGCATAGCGCTTTCCCAATCCCGTCGCAAAGTTCTACGCTGCAGAGGTTACGCTCGCGCTAGACTACCTGCACTCGCACAACATCATCTACCGCGACTTGAAGCCCGAGAATCTGCTCTTGGACCGCCATGGCCACCTCAAGATTACGGATTTTGGGTTTGCCAAAGAGGTCCCCGACATCACATGGACCCTTTGCGGAACACCTGACTACTTGGCACCCGAAGTCGTCGCTTCCAAAGGATACAACAAGTCGGTCGATTGGTGAGTCGCGAGCACCAATTCATTTTTCGGCGCCTACTAACAGCGCCAGGTGGTCATTGGGTATCCTCATCTTCGAAATGCTGTGTGGCTTCACGCCCTTCTGGGACGGCGGCTCGCCTATGAAGATCTACGAAAATATTCTCAAGTCGAGAGTAAAGTACCCGCCCTACATCCACCCCGACGCCCACGACCTTCTGCAAAAGCTCATCACGCCGGATTTGACCAAGCGACTGGGCAACTTGCACGGTGGCAGCAAAGACGTTATGAACCACCCTTGGTTCGCCGAGGTGACTTGGGACCGGTTACAAAAGAAGGACATTGACGCTCCATACGTGCCGCCCGTTCGCGCCGGAGTCGGTGACGCCAGCCAATTCGATAAGTATCCGGAGGAGACGGAGGCATACGGTCAGGCAGGGGACGACCCGTGCGTGCAGAGTCCTCCTTACACTGTAGATCATATTCTGACGTGTCCGAATAGCCACGGGCACCTGTTTCCCGACTTCTGAGCATACCAAGCCCTCAACTCGAGACACAATACCATCTTGCCCGTTCCTCCTACGAGTGACCTGCGTACGGCAATTTCCTGATCAGCGTACCTCTGCAACGTCCGCCGACATCGTACCTACTAAAATACAGTCTTCATCATCTTCGAAACATCGGCCCTATGCGCTTTTCGGCTCTGCAAGTCTAATCCTTTGTGGCTTGCCCTTTTTTTTGTCCTCTTCTTCCTGCTATTATTGCTATGTTTGCCAACCACTGGGCTTACTGTCATCTGCATATCGTGTCACTTGGATCAACCGATAATGCCCAACGAGCCCAAAGTGTTGTTTCCCTGTTGCTCCATGGTATGATAAGGCGGGTTATTGGATTACGGCTGTCGCATACTTGGCGCAAACTGAAAATATGGGGCTATGACCAATGCAAGGCGTAAGCCATCAACATCAATGATTCTTCGAGTTCCGTTTTCAAGTGACGTTGTCTAGAGAAGACGACTACCATTAACAGCCAATACATGCTTCTCCCTTTAAGCAACTGCTCCATGGTAACAGTTGAAAAGTTACCACAGGAAAGCCAAAAGGAATGAGACTTATACCAAAGTTTGGCCAGCGTTGTAGTGCATCGGCATCGCACCCTACACCACATACTGACGTCAAGCTCCCGTCCCGTCCGGCACTAATTCGTCCCAAATACCATGTTTACCAGCACGCGAACAATCTAAAAGCAATTCTGACGATGCCCCAAGAAAGTCGAACAGCTGTCACTTCCGCGGACTTGTGGGCTCCGTCATGTTGCCGCATCACAAACGTCTTGGTGACCTGATCATGGTTAAAATGATAACTTGCGACGGAAATGAACAAGAACACATTCGGAGGCGTCTGCTATATATCTTGCTGGGTGCGCGACATTGAAGCAGGTGGCAATTGCTGTACGATAGATCTTACTACTGCACCGTTGCGATCTAGATCCGACAATGACATTGGTTCCTTGCCAAGGCGCTAGTAAAGAGGAAGCGGGGATCGTGGAAGGGCAGACCAATGGATATGGGAATCATGGCACAACGTCAACACAACAGCAGCACGAGCAGTTTGGCGAGAAGAGGGACCGAGGCCAATTTCTTCGGTCCGTGGGTCTCAACGACGACGACGAATTGCTTGAATGGCATGATTTGTGTAAGGGCCTCTGTTCTGCTGCTCGTCACGAGTCGTTTTTGGTGGTCAACTAAGAGTTCACGTATACAGTGCATTGGCAACAAGACAATGAGTTTATACTGACAAAGCACCGGTAAGAACCTTCTTCTTCTTCTTCCCTCATCTGTATGAATAAAGCTGATCAACTGTTAACAGACGAGCAACCTTTTCCTATCAGCGCTCGCTCAGGAGTGTGTTCCAAATTCACAATGAGACCGTCAACATTTGGTCGCATATCTTGGGTACTGTGGGCTTCCTGTATGCCATGGGTGCTTTGGAGCTCTACATGAGGGAATTGGACAGGCATGCAAAAGATGAGTTGGCAGTGTTGATCTACTTCATCTCGGTCATAGCATGCTTCTTTTTTTCATTTGTGTGAGTGGTACTTGTTTCTTTTTCCTTTTCACTGATCCTACCAAAAACAGTGGCTATACCGATACATCGCACGCTATTGGTGTAGAAGTGATCCTCGTTAGACAAGAGAACAGAGAACTGACACCTAAGCGCAGTTACCACATATTTCTAGACCACAGTCAAAGCGCCCGCACATGGACAAGTCGCTTTGACTACCTCGGCATCGTGGTTCCTCTCTGGGGTACCACCATCGCCAGCACCCATTTTGGCTTTCGCTGCGAACCTGACCTGCGCAAGACTTACAGTGTCTTTGCTACGGGCGCAGGGCTCGCATGTGCAGTCACTACACTTCATCCTTCCTTTACCGGCACGGCTTCCAAGGGTTTCCGGACAGTAACCTATCTTCTCCTTGGGCTTTCTTCATTCCTGCCCATTATTCACGGTTTGCACCTCTTTGGGTGGCAGCAAATGGAGCAGAGAGTGAGTCTCTCATACTATCTCGCACTCGGGCTTTGTCACGGCACAGGTGCAGTCACGTATGCAAGCAGGGTGCCTGAAAAATGGTATCCAAAACGTTACGATCTTGTCGGTAGTAGCCACCAGATTATGCATGTGCTGGTTGTGTGTGGCGCGACAGCATATGGCTTAGGTGTGCTCAAGGCAAGAGAACATTGGAAAGGCTTCCACTGTGCGGGTCTTCAGTGAAGCGGGTAAGCAGGATTTTTCCTTGAACAGACCCGATCTCGTCTCTTTTGTAAAGGTATTTGCAAGCATCTTATCAAGTCACAGCCATGACAAGCTGCCCTTAGCAAAAACTCAGTGAGCCTGAAACAACTCAGCATCTCCGCGGTTGCTCAGCAAAATCAAATTCACAATCTCGAAAAGACCCACAACCGCACGAACTCCTTTATCGCCGGAGATGCTTGATTCCAACTGCTCTCTGCTCACCACACCTTTTACCTTTTCGTCTGCTACTCCAATAATTATTGCTCCGATATCGCTATATGCCCACCTCTTTCACATGTCAGCCAACAGAAACCACCGAATTACACATTTCTCAGTCTTGCGTCAGAAAACGAGCAGTACTTCCCGACGCTCCAAGATTCTCTCCCAAGGCTGCTCGAAACTTGGCGTGATGAAGGTCAACAACACAGGAACTACGATGACGTTTTCCAAACTCCTGGGCGAATTGACAATAATCCGTCTCCCCAGGTCATTACAGGACTATGATTTGCTCATCATGGCTGCGGTGTCGTAGCGCAGCGAAGTTGCAGTCATGCGAGATAAGGCACACATGCCACTGCCGATTGGCCCGCGCCCGTGTTGTAAGCGACAGGCTTCGATCGAGGAACAGATCATCAAAGCCAAATCCGTGCCCAATCTGAGCACAAGATTCCAATAATTGTGCAAAAGTGAGCGGACATCTGCTCGGTGGTGCTCCTGGGTACACCGATCTGTGACATTTATCATGACAGGTTTCCATTTCCGCACAATACACAACCTTGATGTCTGGACCTCCCACACCTCATATTGCACCAATTTCATACTACAAAAGCAAGTTTGCGATCTGGAACCGTGGCTTTGGTCGACATCCAAAGTTGCTTTGTGGTCTGGGCGAGACTAGAGTTCTTGCTCACGCCACGAAACAGAGATTCCGGGATCCGAAGGAATAGCAGGCGCCAAAAAGAGTTGGGGAGTTACTTTCACAACAGAAGCCCTCTGTCGAAAGCTGTTCACCGCGGAAAAGCAGCAATTCATATTATCTCTACATGTTCTGATAAGGACCCATGTTGGGCTCCTTGTCTAGTCTCTCGCCTGGTTAGCGCCAAGAGATAAGGAGAACGCCTTTGCCGTCCCCCCACCATCCCGCGTCAGTACTCAGCCGCAGCGAGACTCGACTCGTCCCTTACCATTCAGCCTTTCTTCACACACTTTAGCCAGACTACGATGAAATATAATTCGCTCAAAGGCCGTGTGGATCCTGTGTTAGAGCCGGAGCGCTGATCGGAGACATTTTGAACACTCTCGCTAAGTGGTTTAGCGTAGATTGATCGGGACATCTGGGTTTACACTTGCTGTTTATCGACAACGCAGATAACGACGACCCACCAGGATTACCGTAACCAGGTATCGGAGAAGTCTGATCTTCCTTGGCCTGGGGGAACGTCTTTGCGCCACAAGCTTATGGTGGTTGGGGTAAGTGCGTCACCTCTGTTCACCGCGGAAGTATCACAATTGGGCTTTTTGGTCGACAATCTATATAACTTCTCGACTGCCAACTGTGGTCATCATCATCGGCGAGCGTCAGCATCCATTCAGATTCTCACCATGCCTTTCGCTATCAACCTCCTCTGGTCAGCACCAGAGGTCAACCCCTACAATCAGAAGGCCAGGTCGATCCCTGTACTCAACCCAATCAACAAGTATGGGCGGGTCTTCTTTTTCTCTTACCTGGGCTTCTTCATCGCGTTCTGGTCATGGTGAGTACTTCCCCACAAGTGGACCGCCTTTGCCCCACATGATACTGACGATGATCAGGTACGCGTTTCCGCCTCTGGTATGGCTACCCTGTGCCCATAATCCACGAGTATGGTCTCGACTAACATTTCCATAGCTGAGTAAGAGTATCAAAGCGGATATGCACCTCACCCAGGACCAGATTGCGAACTCCAATATTGTGGCGCTCTGTGCCACATTGCTGGTCCGCTTCATTGCTGGGCCCATGTGCGATCACATTGGCCCTCGCAAGACCTTTGCGGTGCTGCTGTTTGCTGGCGCCATCCCCACTGCCCTTGCCGGTACTGCCACCAATGCTACAGGTCTCTACTTTATTCGCTTCTTTGTCGGTATCCTTGGTGGTACTTTTGTGCCTTGTCAGGTGTGGAGTACTGGTTTCTTTGACAAGAATGTCGTCGGAACTGCCAACGCATTGGTTGGTGGTTGGGGTAACTCTGGCGGTGGCATCACATAGTAGGTCCATTTTGCTATGTGTATCATGGTCTCAACTAACTTGAATAGCTTTGTCATGCCAGCTATCTACGATTCCCTCAAGAAAGACCAAGGCTTGTCCTCGCACGTCGCCTGGCGCGTCTCTTTCATCGTTCCGTTCATCATGATTACCGCTTGTGCTCTGAGCCTCCTGCTCTTGACTGACGATACTCCCAACGGAAAATGGTCTGAACGTGGCGTAAAGGTCGTGTCCAGTGACCAAGCACAGTCATCTGTCGTCCCTACAACGGGTGCGATTGACGAAAAACCCACAGCTGCTAGCTCCATAGCTTCCAACGACGAGAAAAAACAACGACAACCTTCCGCAGATATCGAGGCCGCACATGGAGACGTCCAAGTCATCGACGAAGTCCAACACGAAGTCATCGTCAAGCCCACATTCAAGGAAGCTATGAAAGTCATGTTCTCCCTTCAAACCGCCTCGCTTTGTGCTGGCTACTTCTGTTCCTTTGGTGGCGAGTTAGCCATCAACTCCATTCTCGGTGCTTACTACCTCAAGAACTTCCCATACCTCGGCCAGACGCAATCCGGTCGATGGGCTGCCATGTTCGGTCTACTGAACGTCGTCACCCGTCCTCTCGGTGGCGTAATTGCTGACTACATTTACAAAGTCACCGGGCATAGCCTTTGGGCCAAGAAGTTCTGGATTCACTTTGTTGGCATCATGTCTGGTATCTTGTGTATTGTCATCGGAAAGGTGGACCCCAAGAACTTGGATGAGATGATTGGTCTCATTGCTGTCATGGCCATCTTCCTCGAAGCTGGCAACGGTGCTAACTTTGCTTTGGTACCGCATGTTCACCCTCATGCTAATGGTCAGTCTTGTTCCTTTAAACTGGAAATCACATGTCAGATGCTAACAGTATTCAAGGTGTTCTTTCTGGTATCGTTGGTGCGACTGGCAACTTTGGTGGCATAATCTTCGCCATCATCTTCCGCTACCACAAGACCGATTACGCACAAGTCTTCTGGATCAGCGGAATAATGATCATCGCGCTCAACTGCATCTTCCTGTGGGTCAGGCCCATTCCGAAGAACCAGATTGGTGGTCGATAAAACCATTCATGACCTTTGTATGATTGAATTTGTTTTCTAGCGTTATGATAGATGAGATACCTTTGCCTTGGTTGTATACGTATATGATTATTTCGAATAACAAACTTTGGATTTTCCCACGTGGCTTTCTTTTTTTGGCTTTGCATGATGCATCCAAGTCTCGAAGGGTATCCAATAGTCTTGGTGCTGCTAGTTCAGTCTAGGCTGAGGCTGAGCGAGACTGTGCAATTTTCGAGTGAGATGCGCTAGGCGAAATGAATGCTAGTTCCAGAATTGCACTTTCAAGAATGTCGCCATCAGCCCCTGCTCACTTTTGCACTCCGCTACTATGTAGTATGTGCAAGTATGTAGTTAACACCAAATTTGCACAGCCAGCATCTTTCTCATTATTATATCCTTTTGCGCTTCAGCCATCCTCTGTACCTCTGTTTTCGGCATGCTACCTAGGTTGTTCCCTGGAGATTGCCTAGTACATATATGCGCTTTACTTATCATCGTCTTATGTCATTCAAGTGCAACAATTCCGTTGCGCGTTGCTTTTGCACCCGCTGCTCACTAATTGGACTTTCAAGATGACAAAAGACTGGGATCTCGTCCAAGATGAAATCAAGGAGCTTTCTTTCTCACAGAAGAAAACACTGGAGGAAGTGAAGGAGATGATGGAACGGAAATACAGGTTTCGCGCTTCGTAAGTGGATATCATATAAAGGAGTGTTGATACTAGACGTACTATTTACTGAGACTTGGAGAAAAGAACAAGAGCTTATCGTATGAAGTTGAAAGAGTGGGGGCTCATGAGACACAAGCCGCGCAGTACCGTCCAGCGCAGACGTGGGGCGCGGCAGAGGAGCAAGAGTAGTCCAGCGGTCGACAATGACGGATGGGAGGAGCAACCAAGTGGAACAGATGAGACTGCGACTACGAATGAATCATCACCAGAGAATTCCTTGGAGAATAGGGGTTGGCAGATTGATGCTAATCTGCCGAGTCTGGCTGCTGACGAAGTGGTTGATAATATGGAGCCAAGGTTCAAGGAGCCTCAAGAGTAAGATCCGGCCAGAGTGCTTCCTGATGATCGAGTGTGTACTTATCCAGCATGTCACAGCTTTCAAGTATCCGCCCAAACATGGCCTGTAGATTCCCCTCAGCCATCAGCCGTCATATTGGACATGGTTGAAGCAATCCTCGACAACGACCCTGAGAGGCTGGAAAGGCTCATCCGCAAGAATGAAGACCACATCAATGATCCCATCGGCTCACTCTTGTGTGATCCCACGAATCGCCTCTTTGGACACCCCGCACTCAATCGCATGGTCATTCTGCAGCACCCTGGACAGACCATGTTAGATGTCGCGTGCGGCATGCCATGCGGGCCAGTCGTTTGGGTCCTGCTTGCGTATGGTGCAAAAGGCTCCAAACATCCACTGGGCTCAGATTTGGCCTTGCATAACGCTATCAAAAACGGACGTGTATATACTGTTCAAGTGTTACTCCTGCCAGGCCGCTCAGATGTTAATGGTCTTCCCGACTCCAAATGGACACCACTTCGACAAGCTGTATTCTGGATGCATCCAGAAGTCGTCCGCGTCCTTTTGGGCCGAGGCGCAAACGTCGAGGATCTGGATCCTCCGCTTGTTCAGACATGCGTAAATTCTCCGCTACAGCTGTGTCTGGTGCGCAGGATAAACAATTACACCGATCCATTGTATCGCGAAAACTGTCACAAAATTCTGAAACAGCTGCTCGCTGCAGGAGCAAATGTCCACAGGACTTCTCAAGATCCTATGATTCAATCAACGTTTGACGCGTTCCTACAACCGTGGAAAAGCCATCCTTATTGGGCTTTTGGAGTTTCTGAAGAAGAGCTCGAGTGCTTTGCAATGTTTATAAGCAAAGGTGTCAATCTCCAGTTGTCCTTTCAGGGAGTTCCTTGCCGGTCGCCTGCCAATGAGAGTTTTGTGCATCAGGCGCTTTGGCACTCGACGCCAATAATTGCAAGATTGCTCATCGATAACTTTGCTCAAACGCCAAATGAGAATGGTTCGCTGCTTCTCCATGAAGTCCTCGGTAGCTGCCCGGATGCAAAGCGACACGGCACCGACACACTGCGTGATATTCAAGTGTTGCTCGGAAAAGGCATAAGCCCAAATCGTACAGAAGGCAGCCCAATAAGTCCATTACGCAAGTGTATTA